GCGCGCGCGGAGGCGGTCGCCGGGCGCCGGGTGGGTTGTCGGGGGCGGCCTGGCGCCGGCGGGAGGCCGATGGCCCTGGGGTGTGCGCGCAGCCCCCCAAAAAAGGCTGCGTTTAAACGGCCTTTGAGGCAAGGCCGGGCCGAAGGCGTCGGCTCGCTTGAACCGACGCGGGCAGAAACCCCCGCACCAGCCAGTGTTCCCTTGTAGTACGCAAGGGACGGACTAAGATCCTGTTCTGAGCCTCAGTAATTCACATTATTTTTATAATAGAGCCCCCATATGACATTTTGCTTTGTAGAAATACTCAATTTGCCATTCAGCTTTCATCACTATTTTGCTTTCAGAGAGAAATGGAAGTGAGCCAAAAATAACGTTTGCAGCAGTGTTTTGGGCAGATACAACATGTTTTGGCTGAAAACAAAGAACGGGTGCAGTGGTCAAAACGGTAGATAGACTGTTAGTGCAGGGGTTAGCTGTGTGTAGAGAGAGGGCAGTCCAGCTGGTGCAGAGCTACTGCAGCACAAAGAGTTAGATTTAGAGACACCGCTGACAGCAGGATGGGGGAACCCGGAGAAGAGGCCACGTTAAAAACCAAAACCAAGCCCAGAACCGTCCAGGTGGCACGCTGAGCGTCGGGGCGTTGATGGCAGCGGTCGTGTCTGCGGTAGCGCGGGTAGGAGAAGGTGGTTACCCAACGTGGCTTTCCTTCTCTCCTTCACTGTGACACGATACAATATCCAACTTTTCTCTCCAGGTAGGGAGAAAAGCATGTTGACTGGGGTAAAGGCTAAAATCGAGTTTGGATCTTCTTTATGTCAAAGAGATAGCGGTGTACATGGGGAGCGTACCAGGCGGTTACGCGCGGTCGCAGGGGCGCCTGGGAGATGGAGCTGATTTTGCAGCTGGTCTGACTTTGCTGATCTCAGCAGGACTACGTCAAGGATCTGTTTACTCCACGGATTAATACAAGAACGCTGAATCTGCCAGATGTGGTTTTGTTTCTTCAGCAATGGAGCTATGTCATGCTATCCCTTGTCAACGCTATATCAGCTTCACTGTTTAAAAGCATGTGTTGCAGCAGCAGAGTTAATGACAACAAGAAGTCAGGATTGTGAATTGATTTGTTTTGCAATCTAATATTGCTGGAACAGTGTGATATAATAACTGAGGAAAGACAGGTGACAGAGTAGTACAGGGGACACACATAAGCGCTAAAATCATGGCACTCATTTCTATGCATGTGTCCTCTTCACTGCACTCTTATGGATGGTTTCTAGATGCCATACAATTCTCAACCACTGTCATAACTGTTCACTCAGGTGAAAAATGAGATGCGGCACTGAGGGATGCCATTAGCTGCTATGATAGTCTTTGTCTGTGTCTTCCAGGGTATATTCATTTAAAAAATAGCTAAAACACTGTCCAAAACATCTGGGGAAATGGTCTCCTACTTAACTTCTCTTTTGCAATTAACCTACTTCATCTCAGCACAGGTAACTTTTTCTGTTTACATTTCTCTGTAGAGGTGTACGTCAGACCTGTGCTATGGGAACAACCTGCTGTATGCGCGTACCTGTCGCGGGGATGGGTTGCTATGGTAACGCACATTATCACCATCGCTTCCATCGGCCACAAAGGCTGAGATCGAGCTGCTTGATCTCCTCAAAGTGGGCACCGCAAAACCCAGGCTAAAAATAAAAAGCTGCATGGATGGAAAACAAACAAAAAGGGGCAGGTAGCACTGATCATGACTGAGCACTACTGATGCGATTGCAGAAGGTTTAAAAGTTGTCCAGGAGTTTGGGGAACTTAGTGCATTGCCAAAGCAGTATAGGATAAAATGCCAAAACAAGTCTAAATGACTTTGAATCCTCAGTCCTATCATGCTTTGGAAAAATACTCTGTAAAGTAAGAAAATAAAAATGTGATATATTGACAACAGTTAGCACAGTAGTACCTGTGCTTCCGCAGCTCTATTTCCTTTTAACTTAAAATCTGATTTTATGGAAGTTTTTCCACCAATCTCAACGTGACGCTGTTTGCTGGTGTGATTAATAGCTGTCTGTGTTGGAGAAATATATGGATTTGCTGGCAGAGGTTGCATTTCTACTGTAAATACCAATTATGTCAAAATAGATTTTTTTGCACAGAAAACTTCTGCTTCAATACGCTTGCTTGGAACTGTGCCGTCATCCCTCTGTCTTCCTGCAGTGTATTCATTAGTGTTTATCAATCTTCTTTAAGGTAGCCTGTCAGTTCTGCTACTGACATTTTCAGTAGCAGATTACACTAAATATGGCTCGATGAAAGGAATGACTTTATCTTGGAAACAGTCACACTGAAGCATCTACATTGTCTTATAAAAACGTCCCAGGAAGGGCCACCCTCTTCTTGCTTTTTCTAATAAACATTGGCAATGCAAGGCAGAGTTCAGAAGATGAAATTCCATTTCTGCTAGTACCTACGGTTTTCCAGAGCGAAAATGTGCTTTGCCTTAACAGTGACAAAGCTTCATGCAATCCAAATTTCAAACGCTAAGGCCTAAAGCAAGGTCATGCCAGCTGCCGCTCAAGGAGTGCCCGATGCACAGCGTGCTCAATCAAGATGAGCAGATGCCAGTCCACCAGCAGGCAGCCCAGCATAATCCACTGATAGAGTTCCCTGCGTGCTGCACAGTTATGAATTTTATTACTGATTAAATTTATAGGAGCAAAGGTTTTTCCACATACACATGCAGGTTTAACATTTGTACATTAATCTGCAGAACAGTAATATCTTGCTCTCTGCCCTCCTTCAGCTCACAGGTTGGTTTTGAGCACCTCAGTTTTGCACCTGCCAGTGACTCAATTGTGCTGTTATCTGAAAACCATGCACATGAGTGCCTCATTTTTCCCATAAGACAAGTTTTGCAGTAGTGCAATTTCAACGGACTTGCTCCTGATTCACTCTAATCTGCTTTTTTGGTAAAATAAAGTCAAGCTCCATGAACTGGTACTCAATAATTCTTTTATGTACACACACACACACACACACACACACTTTTTATGTATATATATAAGACACACCATGACCATAGGATGGAGGAGGTCAGAACAAATTATCATAGTAGTCTCTGCTGGGCTTATGCTTTAAATCTCTGAATTTGTATATTTGAATGGTACTAATTACTGCCTGAGATGTGCTAAAAATACGTAGTATTTACAGGATAATTTCATTGCAGTTTAAGTGCTTGTTCTAACATTTTAAGGAATCCATTTCTTCTGCTTTCTCTAAGCTATGAGAAATTGATATATCAGTTTCTTACGGATCTTTTTAAATTTTCTCTTCTTTCTCTTCCCTCATACATTCTTGTTCCAGTTTCACATAGCTTATGAGACAAGCTTATTGGCTAGCGATTAACTGATTCTGCCCAGGAATTGACATAAGGGTTTCATTAGCACAGCAACATGTTTATTCTGTACTTTGGTAGACTGATGAATAGCAAAGGGCAATGTGTTTATTGCTGAGCCACAGCTATGCATGCTGCTACTGAATAAGTAACAAAATATTTCCATGGTAAAACGCCTTATGAAACAACCTAGAAGAAGTGGGGAGCGAGCTGAGGAGCCCTTCAGCTGGGGTATTAATAAAAGCTTCTCCTTTGCCTCGCTGCATGAAAATGCAGCGTTTGGCTCCAAAATGCCTGCTATTCGGTGAAATATTCTTAGAAGTGGCTATGGGTTCTTGGCAAGAGGGGATGGGCAATGTACGGCGACCCTCGTCCCCAGCGACATGGGAACTGCATTTCCGTGGAAAGGCAAGTCAGGACAGCTGTGAGACGGCATTGGGAAGGGAGGAAAGCGCTGGCACGGTCTCTGCTCCCGCCACTGAGAGGGCACCAGGCCTCAGGTGCCCCAGCATTACTGACACCCCTACCACATTCTTCACTGTGATGCAAAATTATCCTGACGGGTAGCGATTGCGTTCCAAGCACTTAATTTGTGAGACACGTTGCCGTGAAGAAACCCGTGCCCTGGGCAGAAGAAACCTTCGCCATCACCAGCAGCTACACCAAGAGCAATAGGGTAAGGGAGCCCAGGTGGCACCTGCTCAGGAGGGGCCGCGGGGACGGCTGTGTGCCCATAAGGCATGGTCCCCAGAGACGGACGCGCATATGCATTGCTTGGCCGCCAGTCCCTTCCTGCTGGGTCATCGCTGATGGAGGAGGTTGGTTAACTGGAGGCAGAAGAGACGGAGCAGCCTGCCGGGAGCTAGCTGTGGAAGAACGGCAGACACCCCTTCCAGCTCCCTGTCAAACAGCCGTCCTCATCTTAACCTCCAAAATAGCA